TGAAGCACCTACTGAGGAAGATCAAAGACCACAGCCTTCAGTATGGATTATACCTCAACATAAAGAAAACAAAAATCCTCACAACTGGACCAATAAGTAACATCATGATAAACGGAGAAAAGATGGAGATTGTCAAGGATTTCATTTTACTTGGATCCACAATCAACACCCATGGAAGCAGCAGTTAAGAAATCAAAAGACACATTGCACGGGGCAAATCTGCTGCAAAAGACCTCTTTAAAGTGTTGAAAAGCAAAGATGTTACCTTGAAGACTAAGGTGCGCCTGACCCAAGCCATGGTGTTTTCAGTTGCCTCATATGCATGTGAAAGCTCTGCAATGAATAAGGAAGACTGAAGAAGAATTGATGCCTTTGAATTGTGGTGTTGGCGAAGAATATTGAATATACCGTGGACTGCCAAAAGAATGAACAAGTCTGTCTTGAAAGAAGTACAACCAGAATGCTTCTTAGAAGCAAGGATGGCAAGATTTCACCTTATGTACTTTGGACATGTTATCAGGAGGGATCAGTCCCTGGAGAAGGACATCATGCTTGGTAAAGTGGAGGGTCAGTGAAGAAGAGGAAGACCTTCAACGAGATGGATTGACACAGTGGCTGCAACAGTGGGCTCGAGCATAGCAACAATTGTGAGGATGGCGCAGGACCGGGCAGTGTTTCGTTCTATTGTGCATGGGGTCGCTATGAGTGGAAACTGACTCGACGGCACCTAACAACAACAACAGTTACACAAGAAACAGTTGATTCTGTCTTCAGGGGTTTTCTAGATTGTGTTTCTTTCTTCACAAGGGAATTTACAATCTCTTTTACACTAAGTGCTGTGCCTGGCACGTGAAGGTTCTGGATAAAGCTCGAAGCACTGAGAAGACATTGCAGACGTGGACAAGACAATGGTGGGACTGGACTGTGTATGAGGTTCCCGTAGGTGCTGTAACAAATGACTGCTAACTGGGGGGCTTAAAACAACACAAAATATTCTGTCATGGTTGTGGAGACTGGATTTCTGAAATCTAAGTGTCAGCAGATCTGTGCTCCCTCTGAAGGCTAGGGAAAGATCTTTCCTTGTCTCTCCAGCTTCTAGTGGTTCATAGCTATAATGCGGCAGCGTCAGACCTCATCCAACTTCAGGAGAAGAAGAGAGACTCACCATCAGCCCAACGTTGGTTCTTATGAGGTGGACGGCAGACATACTTCCACTCTGCAAACTTTTTACAAGTTCTGACACCAGCCGTCTCTCCCATGGCACTCTACTTCTCTGCGGGGTTCAATAATTCTTTGCGATGGCCACACAGAACTCACACGCCATACTGATGATTGTGGGGTTTATTAGGGAAGTAATAGGCTACAGTTCAGCATCAGGATCATCTTGGAGGTA